CTTGGCTGCGCCTAGAAATTCTGTCCATGAAGGTAATGAACAGAATCGGTGACAAAGGGCAGCCCTGGCGGAGTCCAACTCTCACCGGAAACGAGCCCGACTTACTGCCGGCAATGCAGACCAGACTTTGACACCGGTCATACAGGGACCTGACAGCCCGTATCAAAGGGCCCGGCACCCCGTATTCCCGGAGAACCCCCCACAGGGCCCCCCGAGGGACACGGTCGAACGCCTTCTCCAAGTCCACAAAGCACATGTAGACTGGTTGGGCGAACTCCCATGCACCCTCCAGGATCCTGCTGAGGGTGTAGAGCTGGTCCAGCGTGCGTTCCACGACCAGGACGGAAACCACATTGCTCTTCCTGAATCCGAGGTTCGACTATCCGACGGACCCTCCTCTCTAGCACACCCGAATAGACCTTGCCGGGGAGGCTTAAGAGTGTGACTCCCCTGTAATTGGAGCACACCCTCCGGTCCCCCTTTTTGAATAGGGGGACCACCACCCCAGTCTGCCAATCCAGGGGGACTGCCCCCGATGTCCATGCAATGTTGAAGAGTCACGTCAGCCAACACAACCCTACAACATCCAGGACCTTGAGGAACTCCGGGCGGATCTCATCCACCCCCGGGGCCCTGCCACCGAGGAGCTTTTTAACCACCTCGGCGACCTCGCCCACAGAGATTGGAGAGCCCAGTCCAGAGTCCCCAGGCCCAGCTTCCTCAATGGAAGACATGTTGGTGGGATTGAGGAGGTCTTCGAAGTATTCCGCCCACCGATCCACAACGTCCAGAGTCGAGGTCAGCAGCACACCATCCCCACTATAAACAGTGTTGGTGCTGCACCGCTTCCCCCTCCTGAGACGCCGGATGGCGGACCAGAATCGCTTCGGAGCCGTGCGGAAGTCTTTCTCCATGGCCTCTCCAAACTCCTCCCACACCCGAGTTTTTGCCTCAGCAACCATCCGAGCCGCATGCCGCTTCGCTCGCCGGTACCCATCAGCCGATTCTGGAGTCCCACAGGCCAAAAAGGCCCTATAGGCCTCCTCCTTCAACCTGACAGCATCCCTCACCGGAGGTGTCCACCAACGGGTTCGAGGGTTGCCGCCACGACAGGCACCGACAACCTTGCGGCCGCAGCTCAGATAAGCCGCCTCGACAATGGAGGAACGGAACATGGTCCACTCAGACTCAATGTCCCCCACCTCCCCCGGGATGTGTTCAAAGTTCTGCCAGAGATGCGAGTTAAAGCTCCGCCTAACAGGGGACTCCGCCAGACGTTCCCAGCAGACCCTCACAACACGTTTGGGCCTGCCAGGTCCGACCGGCATCCTCCCCCACCACCGGAGCCAACTCACCACCAGGTAGTGGTCAGTGGAAAGCTCAGCACCTCTCTTCACCCGAGTGTCCAAGACATACAGCCGCAAGTTCAATGAAACGATGACAAAGTCGATCATCGAACTGCGGCCTAGGGTGTCCTGGTGCCATGTGCACATATGGACACCCTTATGCTTGAACATGGTGTTCGTTATGGACAATCCATGACGAGCACAGAAGTCCAACAACAGAACACCACTCGAGTTCAGATCAGGGCGCCCATTCCTCCCAACCACGCCCCTCCAGGTCTCACTGTCATTGCCCATGTGAGCGTTGAAGTCTCCCAGCAGAACACGGGAATCCCCAGGAGGGGCACCCTCCAGTACCCCCTCTAAGGACTCCAAGAAGGGTGGGTAATCTGAACTGTTGTTCGGCCCGTAAGCACAGACAACAGTCAGAACCCGTCCCCCCACCCGTAGGCGGAGGGAGGCTACCCTCTCGTTCATCGGGGTAAACCCCAACGTACAGGCACCGAGATGGGGGGCAACAAGTATGCCCACTCCTGCCCGGCGCCTCTCACCGTGGGCAACTCCAGAGTGGAAGTTTGTCCAGCCCCTCTCAAGGAGACTGGTTCCAGAACCAGAACCATGCGTTGAGGTGACGTGGATCTATTAAATTCTATTTTTTTTATTTTGTATTCTGAAGATAACTAAATAATGCATTCCTTAATCTATAAATATCCTTTATATTTCCCTTATTTCCCAATAATCCTTTAAGACTCCATTCTTGGCCTGTCCTTTCAACTACTCTTCTCAGTTTCTCCCTTTCAGGTTCATATGTTTTACAGTTCATCAATACGCAAGCATTCGTTCCAAATACTACATCCGGTTAAATGAAAAAAAAAAATTAAAGTAAAAACACAATCAGGAAAATCAAACAACTCTTACAGTTATTTGGTCAGCACTCCTAACCATTTGATGGACAGAAGAAGTACTATAAAATATCTTGAATTATCTCAAATAAACTTCAGTAAAACAGTTATTAGATCATTGCCTCATCCATCTCTTTTACCTGCTATTGACATGAATTTAAATTTGCTGTTTTAAAAGAAAAATAACAAGGATATTGTGGAGCAATATGGCAATTGCCATACTGCCACACTTGTGAAAGTAAAATATGTTGGGCTCTTTTTGGCATCAAGACAATTATTCTTATTTCCACATTGCCAGACAGGACACTGTTAAAAAAAAAAAAAAAGCTAATGGACTTCAGTAACAATAGAGCTGAAATCTTTTTAGGTGCTTTTACATATTTCATGTGATATCCCAATTATGATCATTAGTGCAAAGTAAAGGGGATGTTATCTTGATGGTGTGGTAGTGTTCTTGCATTTTGCACCTTTTTCTGATCTAAGGTCAGATTGGTGATACGGACGGCTGCAAATCTGAGGAATTCTGGAGGCATCTTAGATGAAAAAGAATCCAGGTTTAACATACTGCCTGGCTAATATTTATTAATAGACAATCCCTATTAACTGTGCTTTTCCAGGCATTTGTGTAAATGAAATGTAAGAACAGGATCTCAATTTTGTGCTCTGGAATAAAAACAAAAAATCTAATTTCTTAATCAATAGAGGCCTGGATTTGGAGTCAGTTTCCAGAAACTGTCACATTTGCTTAGTGTGAATACATATAGAGAAGAGAACGGGCCCTGGCATTGATCCCTCTGGTACTCCACATGGATCAGTGCATGAGGAAGATATATTATCATCATGAACAAACTGAAATCTGTCAGATTAATATGCTTTAAATCAGCCTAGTGCTGTTTCCTTAATTCCTACAAAATATTACAGTACAAATACTAGTCTATTATCTCAGGCCATAAGAATATCATTTATGTCTTTAACCTGAGCTGTTACAACGCTATGATGAGCTCTTAAACCAGATTGAAACTCTTCAAAGAGTTCATTATGGTGTAAGTGGTCACATTTTTTTGACAACTATTTTGGCAGGAAGTTTAGATGAGACAGATTGCTCAGATTCGCAGTAGTTTGATTTGATTGATGCTACATTATTTTTTTACATATACCCTTTATTTTGGGGGGAATTGTATGACAAACTATTTGTTCATTATCTGTATAGTGTACAGTTGTCACAGGGTGAGTCCCTACAGTTTCTGTAGGAAATTGTTGCGACCCTTATGCTGGACTCCTTTCTAACCCCTTTCTCCACCAAGTTAAAGATGATTCCAGCCTTGCAATTTGAGTAATCTTCTCAGTCTGGTTAAGATGATATTACTGTTAAACCTTAAGTCCTGTTTTATAGCCATTTATTATACTGACAAGTTATTTAAAGTAAGGTTAAAACCAGTCTGAGAGATCATTGAAATAGGTATGACCCACTCTTAATCTGATCATTATTACTTCTTCCCTTCTGTTTCTCTCATTAATATTTCTATTTAATACTGACTTTTGTACTTTATATAATCCTCTTCCTTTCTTATCTTCATTCATTCATTTTTTTTTTTTTTTGCCATTAGAGGATGGGAATACTTTGGCAGGAACCATAACATTAAGTTGATTATTTTAATGCATATACTTGATCTATTTTTGTTTTTTAAGTATTTGATAATAATAATAATTTCAGTATTTGGAGAATAATTTTCACTTTTTCAAGAAATTTGCCTCTGCATTTAACCCATCCCTTTGGGGAGCAGTAGGCTGCCACTGTGGGGCGCCCAGGAAGCAGTGTGGGGTTAAAGGTTTTGCTCCAACACTCAGAGTGGCAGCCTGTGGGGGCGCACAAAAACTCAGAACCTCATGGTTCCAACCTCTATGCCTAAACCATTAGGGCCACCATTCCCCTATTTATAATAGAAATTTTATTTTTTGAAGAGAACAATAGCAGATTCAAGGAGAATGTGGAGCCCCAGCTAAACAAGTTGCAAGCAATTGGTAAAGGACACACTAACCCTCCTTTCAACCAGCTTGTCTAATTTTGCTGTGGGAGGATGAACTGCTGGCTACAGTATACAACCAACCAAACAACCAACCCCGTGACCTCACTGCTTAGAGAACTACAAAATGGTGGCCCTTACCAAAAATATTATAAACTGTGCTATGTTTTTTCTTTTGTATGTTTAGATTTTTCACGTTAGTAATGTAATTATTGATAATAGTAAAAAATAAGTCTTGAATATTAAGTTAGTTTGGTTGACCATTTAATTTCCAAATAAAAAACAATAGACTGATTTTCTAAAGCTTGCACTTACATAAGGACAAGTGTGAAATTCAAACTATTCATGATTACCCTCTCTAAACACTCCATAATATAAAAATAAAGAAAGAAGTAAAATACTTAGGAATACTGATCTGTAAAGATACAACAGTTTTTATCCATAGGAATATTAAAAAAAAATGCAAAAAACATTTTTTATTACATGGATTTCAAGGGATATTACTCTTTTTGGAAAAAATGTTCTTAATCAAAATAAACAAAATTAAACTTAATTTTATATAGAAGAGCAAATGTCATTATATTAAAAAAAAAAAAAGAAAAGAAAAAAAGAAAAAAGATACGGTTAAAAACTATTTAATGTAATCGATTTTGGTTTCATGAACAAAAATGAAAGTTAATTAGCCGAAATAATTTTATGAATGTTTAGAATCCATTTGGTTTGTGATTCCCAACTCTATAACAAGTTGATAAAACAAGTAGAATGTGCTCTTAAATTTGGATGTTTGTCATTCCAAAACTTCCTCTACTCTAAGTAAACTGTAAAAACAGCGCAAAAAAATAAATAAATACATAAAGCTTCCTGCTACGTTGTAGGTATCCTAGTTTACGATGGTCTTTGAAGGCAGCACTAGAAGCAGTTGGTGACTGTTGCCATAGAAACGTTTATTAACAAACGGCGAGCCGTTGGTGTGTCCAACAAAAGCGGACATTTTCCTGTTGCTTTTAACTTTGCTTGGTTTATATTTACGGAAAAGAAACTTTTTTAGCGGTATTCGTAATACGTGAAATCAAAGCTTCAAAATGGAGAAGGAAGAAGGAAAAACTGAAGAAAGACCAGGGAGAGTGAGTAAAAAAGTTTCACATCTTCAAAACAACCGTTTTTCTCGCCGGACGTTGCTACTTTAAAATTAGGAAGCTTTGGCAAACTGATGGTTATAAATGTTGGCACAAATCTGTAATATGCCCACATTTCTATATGTTTTTAAAATAACTAGGAAGTTTAGAAAGCTCGATTTGTCACAAACTTAAAGGTTTTTTTTTTTTTTTAGATAAATTTAAAATTAGATACATTTTAAATATTTAGATAAATTAAAAATATTTTTTAGATATATTTTTTAGAAGGGACTGAGTGGACTTGTTTCCATGGTTACTGGCTCTGGCCACAGAACTGCCCTTTGCCAGAACTTGAGGTCATCTGAAGTGATACCATATAATTTCAGAGGAATAATCAATTTTATAGGTTTCCTATAGCACTTTTTAAATGGACACCCTCCAGCCTTGAGGGTCAGCATTGAGTATTTTGTCAGAACACAGAATAATGCAAAATTAATCTCATTATCCTTAGAGGACAAAATATCTGCAGAGAGATCTGAACACATTCTTGTCAAACATCCAAGCTGAAGCTGATGCCAAAGTGGTGGCGGAGAGGAGACGGAGGGCTGCAGCTCAAACGAAAAGGTAATTACTCAGTTTAGTATGCATGGTACCGCAAATCTTAACACAGGCCTTTATTCTTTATGTATTTATTATTACTCAGAGAGGAGTTGTTGGAAAATGATTCAACTTTAGTAAAAAAGTGTGATGAAGAATTGAGAGGATTATTAGATATGAGTCAAAAATCCACCACTGAGGAAATGCAGAAAGCCTTTCACAGACAACAGCAGCTATATGAAACTCTCTTCCAAAGCAAGATGAATATCATTCCTGAGCTTCAGCAGGTAACTATTCAGTTATTATCACTATTTAGATAAATTGCTGTAATGCAGTTTTAGGCTCATCAGTAAAGGTAAAACTCATATTTTAACACCTTATTTTTATTTTTAACACCTTATGGTGAACAGGAGCTGGAGAGTAAAAATAAAACACATTTAGACATCTTGAAGAGGAATGAAGAGGATATTAATGTGATGACTGAGCAGATGAAGGAGCAAATGCAACTGAAGGTAAAAGAGTACCGGGAAGAGCTGATTCAAAAAGTGGTAGGACCGACCGCTGAGCAGGATGTGCTTTAAATGGTTTGCTAAAAGCTCCCTAATTTTCCTCGGACAGCTTTTAGAAAACTAAGAAACAAAGTCATTCTTTATGGTCATTAATTTGGTATGTATTCCATCTTTTTGTCTAAGATTCTGCCAAGAGGATTGATTATATGTTTGACATTTGATCATACCAAAAGTTTTGTCCTTGTCTGTAAGCAGGAATCAGATGATTGTTGGTGTTAAACACTGTATGAAAGACAAGGGGTACAATGACTAAGTTTCACTTCTTTATTCCCCTTTCCAAATATAAGCACTCAATTATAGAAATTACATAATTATATATATAATTAATTATACATAACTGTTGCATGTGTTAAAATGTGTAATTTTACTGGATCGTCTGAAATAAAATTACACATTCCTTCAACATGTGTTTTGTTGCATAATGATCAAGGCCAAAAATGTATTCATCCCCAACATGAATGTATTATAACCTCTTTACAAGCTCTATTTGTTTTAATGCTTTAGCATCAGAAGCCTGTAAAATCCGGGATTTGGCTCAACTTGTTTAGCTTGTTTTGCTACCATTACCAAACATTACTATGGTGTTTGTTTGGGCAGAGACATCATCAGGAGGAAATAAGTGCTATACTCAGCAATGACATGGAAGAATGGGACCAAGGCCTGAAAAAAGTTTTGGACAGAGAGGTTAGAAAACACACGCAAACGTGAAAAATCAAATATTTAGTTTTCCTCCATCCATTAACTGTGAAATTACTGATTGTAGCTCAAGGCAAGTGACGAGAGGGAACTGAAATTTGAAGAAGTATTGAAGCCTCTGGAGGTTGAATCAGACTTCGAAAGTATTGTGGTAAGTAGAAATTTGACAGAGTGTAGAGAGGTCTTACTTCTTGCAAATCACTATCTGAGGATTTAGTTTTACTTATTCTTCTTACACAATGTAAGGTTCAATGATGATATTTGTAAACTTACATAACTTACATAAATATTTATTCAAAGGATCACACTATTGACCTTGACCCTTAAATAGAAGGTAATAATTTATTTCTGATAACACTACTACACACTCTGGTGACAAACAATAAAAATAATTCAAAATAAACTAAATAAGCTTCAAACTGAATAATCTTGAAAGAACTCTGTAATGAAGGTCTTCATTACTTGGTGGCACAACACTTAAAATGTGTTAAATAATAAAAGAAATGCATGATGAAGGAAATGAAACGGATACAAACTGATTGAAATGGCTTATTAATGGTGGTTTCGGTGGCATCTCAGCTGGAACTGATAATGTCTTCCATGTCTTTTCATCTCTAGAAGATAAATTTCACTTTTAATTAGAGTTCAAGAGAGCATGTTTAGTTTTTTAAAGACACAACCCACAGCTAATATGTCTGTATGCTTTTAATGTGTTACTTAGCTTGCAGTTAAATTAAATATACCATTAAAGAGAAACTTCATCACTTCTCCAAGGATGATTAAATTCAGGTGCACTAATTACTTTCACTAGTTGTTAGGAATATAAAATAAAGAATCATGCAAACTGCTTCAATTTGCTGAATAATGGTCACTTTTAGGAGCTCAGTAAAATAACTCCTAATATTTATGCATGCTGAAGACAATTTATTAAACCTGACTGAGTTCAGAGATGCTCCCAGTTATCGTATGACTGCAGCAGGGCAAGTAAGATCTATTAGGAGCATATTGGGTGAGATCTATGTATGGAGAATCTGCACAGAATCCTGACCTTTTCCAGACACAGCACCATTTGGTTAAACAGAACTTACACTCTAAGACCATTTTGTTCAAAGAGGCATGTTACTAATGATACTGCCACCTGTGGCCAAAACACTAAACTGCAGCCCTCTTCTGCTCGTTCATACTTGACAATTTTTATTTTTGTTTTCATCTCATCTAGAGTTGCAATTGGTGTCTTGATTTGTGCTGGATGCTTCTGAAGTCGCTTCTGAGTATCCACAAAATTCATCTTGAATATAATACTTGCTAGGTTGGACCCATTTAACATGGACACGCTTGACGTCATATCCCCAGAAACGATGCAGGAACTTCTGACCTACAGTAAATTAAGGAAAATAGGCTACAGGCTTATAGATTCATGAACTGCTGAGGTGTCAGACTAAATCAGTGTTTTAGTCTTAAAGGGTCAAATAAAAAGGCTATTTTAAAGATATTTTTCAGTTAAAAACGTACAACATACAAGTAGATTATATTCACGTAAACACACTTTGAAAAGTCATAAAGAGCCTTTCTAGAGGCTGTTGTAGGAAAAGAAAATTAATGTATAAAAGCAAATATTTCACAGCTTTTTCCTTGCCACTATTTTCAATAATATAGTTTAGGATAGGAATTTAATAATGGAAAGGAATGTATGTTGATGCCATAACTTTATAAGTTTTAGAAAATTCATAGAAAGTTGAAAGAAAGGAAATTGTTTTGCAAGGAAAGGGGTACAATAAAAAGGTACAGCGATCACACTCGTTCATATCAGTGGGTCTGAGATTAAGACAGTTCAATTTAACTGAAGAAAGACTGTAATGATCCCTAAGAGGAAATTCAATGTGAGAATAACTCATAGGATTATTTTCAAGAAGTTGTTGTAGCTTTAGACAGGAATGATCTTCTGTAGCAGTCTGTCTTGCACCAGATCTGGAGAAGCCTCTGACTGAAGACGCTCTGTTGTTGATAAGCAGTCTGATGAAGAGGATGCTCACTGTTGTCCATAATTTTCTGTATTTTATGATGAATTCTTCATCTCCAAAAGTTCTAGAGGAGTTTCTAGAGGAGGTCTTGTTTATCAGCTTGTTTAGCTTTAACTGAAGCTCTAAGGAACCCCAGTAAAAAAGTAGACCCAGTATTTACTAAACATTTAAAGATAAAGCCACACAGATTACAACAAAAAAAATTACAGGTTTCCGAGGTAACAGTATCTATATTTGGTACCAGTGGTACACCCCCTGAGAGTTGCATTGCAAAGTGGTTTGATTTCTTTTCTCCTGTGCAGGATGTTTGGCTTCGTGGCGAGAAGAACGGGGACGACAACGGAGACAACGGTGTCACCTGTTTGCCGAGATGGACCCTGAGCAGCCAGCTGTGGCAATAGTCAACTTCATCAATAAAGTCATGCTGGGACCACAGCTAAGAAGATGAGGAGCAAAGTCATTGGAAACCGTGCACAGTTTAGCATCACAAGATTTTTCTGACACATTTTTAAATACATTTTGTTTATTCAAGATCTATATTTTTGTTTGCCTTTTATGCAAATAACACTTTTGTGCTATGCTGTGTTACTGTTTGTAAAACCACAATCCAGATGTAGCTGTTTTTGCAGGAAATGTTTTTTTGACAGATGTTATTTCTGCATTTTTTTTTTCCGTGCACACGGCTAAGTAGACGTTAAGTCACTGTAGTAATTTGCTATTGTAATTTAAATAAAATGCATTACTTAAAACTCTGTTTATCAGCTAATCATTCTAAGGTTTATCAAAGGGCGCTAATGGTCTTAGCTCCTGCTAGTACAGTAAACAATAGAATACAAGCTAATTACATTTGTTTGTTTTAACAGGTTACATTGTATCCATGGTAAAAACTTTGAGTCAGTGACACAGTGTGGCATTGTCTAAATTTACACCCATCAAATGCAATATGATGAGAAAAAAAAACAACTTGGCTGGATGAAAAATATAATATATATATATATATATATATAATATTTGGAGTGATTATTAGATTTTTACCTCTCACAAAAAACTATTTTTAAGTAATGGTAAAAAAAAAAAAAAAAAAAAAAAAATGGTAAATCAAGGGCCAGCACCCCCCTCCTTGGATATCTTATGCAAAACAGTACCTATTGTCACTCATTTGCAATATTCTTCTCTCTCACTGTGCAATAACACATGCCAACTACTGTGTAAACTGTGTAATTTTCTTACCCATCTCTAAGGTCAGTACATTTCTGCAGTGCAAATGCAATAACCCAAGTCAACTACTTTGTACTCTTCCCTTAGCTCTCTACTGTGCAGATATTTTTATATCTACCGTAAGTGAAACATATTCCAAGACATTATAACTTGTTTTTTTTTCTTTTTTTAATGCTTTTTCTTTGGTACTATATACACTTTTTATATTGTCTGTCGTATTTTTATCTTTAATGGCAGCTTGAAGGAGTAACCCATTGGGGTTACTCCTTCCCTGAAGGAGTAACCCCAATGGATAAATAAACTTGAGTCTAAGTCTAAATCACAACATATTTAGACCCACATTTGCAGCTAGGCAGTGATTTTTTTTGTTGTTGCTTTAAAAGATAATGTCTGAATCATTTTGTTTTTAAACAGACATTTTTCTGTACAGATACTGCTCTCCTTCTTACACACAATGTGTTATGTTAACTCTTCTTTTAATATAGATCAGAGTTCTTCAACAGGGGGTCCGCGGAGGTACTGCATGGGGGTCGCGAAAGTCTTGGTTGATTACTTTTTTTTATATTCCCTCCTGCAATTTTTTGCACTAATTAAAATGTCTTTAAATACACATTAACATGAATTCAACACACTGTAGTAAACGGATAAATGGAAGCAGAAGATGTCTTTCAGTCATCAATGCACACATTCAGCGACACACAGGAGCTCTTTCAAACCTGGGCACCATTTCATTCACAACACCTGTCCCATCAACGTGGAATCAGAAATACTTTAATAATCCCAGGGAGGGATTACTTTCGTAACATGACTCCATATGTAATAGAGTGACTATAAGACCAGTTTGATAAAACACAATTTCATACAATATATATAATTAGGGGGTCCCCGCTCCATCTCGCCATCAGTTTGGGGGTCCTTGGCTTCGAAAACTTTGAAGACCCCTGATATAGATAATTAATTAAGATGAATTAAAATACATTTTTCTGAATACCAATAATATCAAAATCTGCTTAATGAGGTCACTGTAGGTCAAATACAGTCACCATCCACAAGACAAACTACAAAGCCCCAGACACACAAAACGGCAAGATAGGGGACAAGTATAGCACACAAGTATAGCAAGAACAAAAAAAAGGAAAAAAATCCTTTAAAGACGGCAGGAAGTCAGGAGCAAAAGGAAGAGGTGGAGCCATATGGTCTAAATGAAAGGGAGTTAAGCAGCTTAGAATCATCAAAGAGCAAAGAAGTAAACAAATGTGGAAATTTAAAGTAAAAAAATTAACAACGTTAATGTTGGTTTAAGGGAAAAAAGTGAAGCTTCTGACCAACGAATGGAAAGAGAAATCAATTTTTGGGTCAGATTTGGTCATGAATGTATGTGCAGAAACAAAATCCAGAGAGCAAAACAAGACCTCTGTTCAACAGCGTTTTTATCGTATGCGTTTAGAGTCGCAAAGAGCCAGGCATGCCAGACATAAAAACAACCTACCTGGAAACTGGTAAGTGTATCCAGGTGCTAATCCAGAGTAACTACGGCTGGTGTAGGTAGTAGTCTGGAAACCTGGATAGCCTGTAAAAAACAGAGGCAATGATCTGCTTGGTCAGTCCCTCATGTAAAAAGGTTCACTTTTAATGCAGAAAATTAGCTAGGCACAAAGTATGTTTTATTCAGTTGCAACAATCTATTAACTGCTGATCCAAACAACAGATGCATTTTACAGATAAGTCACCTTTTTCTATTATGACCAATACTTTAAAATAATTTGAATCTATAGTGAAACACAAGGTCGGTTATAAAGACGCAGTAATAACAAAAAGCTTTGTGTATAATTTAAATACCAACGCTATTATAGGAAGAATTAGAGTTAAATTATAACTGAATAAACACAAATGGCCAGTAGGGGGAGCAATAAAACCACACAGGAAGAAGCTCTTGCTTTTTTTCAATGAAAATATCTTCAAACTATGCTTATGCATTCCCACTTATTGTTTTTCACTTTAAATTTTTCTGACTCTAACTAGTCTTCTGCAGTTTTCAACCGATTTCAACAATTTTGGTATCAAAACGTTCAGCTTGTTCAGGAGAATTGTGCTATATCTTTTGGTAAAGATATTTTTTTAGTTTTCACGATATTCAGCTTTTTCTGCGTTTTTTTTTGTCCCATTGAAATGCATGTAGAATTCATTTCAGCAAAATTCAGCTAAAACTTTATCATCTTCGACCTTTAACTACTGCAGCATACTTTCAGCTAGAAACACCATTCAACTTTTAAAATCTTTCCGTTTCTTTCTGCTATTACTGTTTAACTCAGCTTTTTGCTAACTTTTATAGTTTTGCTTCAGTGAAGCTTCAAACTTTAAAAGAATTTTTAAAGATTTTCAGATTTATAATGGAAGTCTATGGACGGAATTCTTCAACTGCTAGAGTGCGTGCTCTAGCTTTTGAGCTGTTCTGGTTTTTCCGAACAAATTCTTCTCACTCCCTCATTTTTCACTCAATTGAAATAAATTATACATCAAAACGTAGGGAATTTTGTCAGGATTCAGGAAATGTAACCCTCATTTGTGTGGCATGTACGGTTTTCCAACAGTTTGGCCCAGACCGCGAAGAAGTCCAGACTTCCCCAATAGAAATCCAATGAGAGACTTTCCAAAATTCACAGAAAGTGAAGCGCATTTCTCTCTGTCACTGACAGGTTCATTAAGCGTTGTCAAGGTAACCAAGCTTCAAAGGGATTTTGCCTCTGCCGCTTTAAACAGCACATTTTAATCTAATGGAGGGAGACAACACTGATTTAACATTTGGAAATGGATACAATATGACTACTGGCCATGACCCTTCCCTTCACACACAACCCCGATAGACTTTCAAAATAAGACTCCGGTGACCCTTCAAAATAAAAGCTCCTACATTAAACTCATATTTTTTTCCCCAGCATATGGCTCAACATTATGACCCAAACTCAACCACTTTTTTTTAAAAATGAGACTCTAGGACTTTTTCAAAACACACCCAACAGCAAATTTCAAAATAAAAGCCTCCCATTGCCACTTCATCTACTGCCCTAATAACAGGGAAAAAAAGTGATTTAACGATTGGAAAGTCATCAAGTATCACTGCTGGGTCTGACCCTTTTCTCAACACACAACCCTGCTAGACTTTCAAAATAAGACTCCACTGACCCTACACAATAAAAGCCTCTATATTATACTCGCGTATTAATTGATGCAAATGGCTCAGCATTATGACCCAAACTCTACCAGCTTGTTTCTATTAGACTCTAGGGACCTTTTCAAAACATACCCCGGAGCGAATTTCACAATAAAAGTCTCCCATTTACGCTCTAATACAGCATCTATTCACCCAATAACATGGAAAACCAGTGATTTCATGGCACTTTTGGGGGAGTGTTGGTCTTGTGGTTAGGGCAGTGCGCTTGTGCTCTGAGAACGTTGCAAGTATCCGGTTTGATACCAACAGCCTCCACTCTGGGTTCCTGAATATCGACCCTTAACTCCACACTGCTCCCTGAGTGCCGCACGATGGCAGCCCACTGATCCCCAAGGGGATGGGTTAAATGAGGAAAATTTCTCCAATGTGATCAATTAGTATTTATTCTCTAGGCTGCAGTGTGAAATTTCAAATTCCTGGGTTTTTTCATTGGGTGCACAATCAATGTTTCAGTTTTGTTGGAAATTTACGTATTTCTTGGTTTTGTGTTGTGAAATTTCTCGCTCTCCATTCAACCCTCCTCTTTTATCCGGGCTTGGGACCGGCAAAGTAACCTTAAAAGATACTCAGGCAGAGTTACTTTTTTATTTTTTTTATTCTTTTATTTTTTCAAACTTTAAAAGAATGAGCGTGCAATTTTACAACAAAGTGAGCTTCCCTTAAATGGTAGAGCTAACTAACTTGTTGGTCAACAAAACAGATATGACACTGTTATGCTTGATGGTATTAGTGATCATGAGGAAACACCAGCACATCACTCCCATCCTTCACACTTTACACTGGCTGCCCATTCACGCCCGTATAGAGTACAAGATTCTTCTGCACACCCATCACTGTGTGCACGGTGCGGCCCCCATGTATCTCACTGAACTGCTCACACCACACACCTCTTCCCGGACCCGGTCAGGCCAACAGCACCGTCTGGCCCCACCCAGGACACGGCTAAAAACAATGGGCGACAGGGCCTTCGAAGCCACAGCTCCCCGTCTGTGGAATGCCCTCCCAGACCACCTTAGGGCCCCACAGACGGTGGAT